AAATTACCATAAATTGCCTGTGATTTTAGCATACAAGAATAAAGTTGCCCACGGATTTTTTTTGATAGAAAGTTACAGTGGCTATAGAGGATCAAGAAAATATAATCGGCTTTTCAGAGTCAACAATACTATATCGGTTAATAGGTCATTAAATGTCACCTACTTCACAATTACTGCATGATGCGGAAAAACAGGTCAAATTTAAACTCAATTAGTTCAATTTTATCTGGTATTCAAACACTTACCATACCTCGAAAGCTTTGGGATACAGATATCATCGCCTTGAATTGTTTTAAAAACAAGCAAATAGTTTTTGAGTAAGACGGCTTTGTTTCGGACACTTTTTGAAGATTGTTTACTCTAAAAAACACTGTTTTGGTTTTTCGCGTTCAAAAATTCAAGGAATTTTTTTTTCTAAAACAAACTTCACTTTTAGGTGTGTTGGATGATAGGCTTTGTTGGTACAAAGTTTGAGGTAGGGCGATTTTTGGGCTATTTCCAACTTTGCCCGAATCTAACAGGCACAGCCTCTTAACTTCTCATATATAGTCTATTTGAGGTACATGATTCATGAAGGATTGGTCAGGCATGGGCTGCAATCCTTAAGTTTTTTATACCTCCTTTTCCATTTACCATTAATCATTGTTTGTTATACCATTGAATAATAATAATAATTATAATAAAGGTCTTTATTGATCAACAGATTTCAACAAACGTGGAATCTTTACAAATTACTAGTACTAAAACAATAATAAAATGAAGAAGAAATATGTATGAAAATTATTTAAAAAGACATCTGTTTATGAAAGAATGTTTGTATCGTTCGGTCTTAACTTTCGGTAGAATATCGCTATGTTCTCTTTTCCGCAGCCATCGAGTTCGTTTTTTGGTAGCAGTTCCTGCAGTATGTGTTCATCATCGTCTGTAATCTTTTTAAATAATAGATTGTCCCTTTCTTTAATGACTTCAGATATTGAAATTTGATGGGAAGTGTAGCCGAACTTATGCGATCTTTTTAGAAAGGCGTCTATTCTGTCAAGGTACCGACGTTGGTATGCTGCTCCCCAGATCTTCAATTCCATATTGAAAAACTGACATAATATGATATTCGAATAGTTTATGGACCGTAAAAAAACTGACATAATATGATATTCGAATAGTTTATGTAGCCGTAACCCTTACACACTCAAATAATGTAGAGAAGACCTTGTTTTGTGCTTGTCTTGGTGGGGTTGCCACAATTCTYGTGGCTCTTGGCGTGTATTTCCCCCCACTTTGCCGAAGAGACAGTTGATCTATCTTTGGTCACGTCACGTTTAGGAATGTTGTTAAAACGTGGCGTGACTATTTAGTGTTTTAAAATAAAACCGTCACAGCTTGTGGCCATTTAAATCCAACCATTGGCTAGATTGTTCTGTCTCTTCATCAAACAAGCGCGACTTCGCACAGAGTATTGTCTTCTTATACTTATTTTGTTATTGTTTATATATCGATAATACGGTGCAAAAATTCAGCTTTCGGGTTGTGAATAATTTTAATAAACTATCTATCA